ACATATCCAAAACCCAGGTGTGTTTACCCATGTTTAGTCATGCATATATTCTTTACTTTTCTAAAATACATGCAGATTCTTTGGTTATGTCATTGTTGCGTGTATTTTTTTTAAAGGAGCTATTATTATATAGATGAGTATTTATGTAAACAAAGTCACCGCCCCCAAAGATATATTTGGTTACTAACATAAATATTGGAAACCACGTGCATGAGGGCACCTTAGATCTGCCTCTGATTTTTTAAGTTTAGAAACCAGGGAATGCTCTTCTCAAAATAAGCATGCAAAGAAACATATTTATCTGTCTGTCTGTTATTTATCATGCAGATAGGTGTTAGTCGTCTGGAGACTTTAAACATTACTAGACCATTAGAATAAACATACCAATTAAATAATATCAAAAAATGCAAAGCACCAAGCTAAAATCTGATTATTTATAGAAACTAATGTGCTATAATAAAAGTTAGTCCACCCTCAAACGTGATCCACCACTTGAAAGAGGCTAATAAATTCTCATTAAGAATGCATTTATGCAGTGATTAGCTGACCTCTGACCTCTGAAGAGTTGTTGCAATTAGCCACAACGTGCAGCACCTTCAAATGTTCGGTTTTTGTGGAATCCCACGGTCCCTTCCTCTAAGCTTCCGATCTCAAATTCACTGGTGCTTGCATATACATACACACTTGTCCTAAACTCAGTCAAGCCAATGCACTTTAAACACTAAAACATAAAAAACGAAGTATTTCATATTCACAAGGTTGCAGATACTGATAAAAATGTTAAATAAAAATGCTTTAAGGCAACTTCTTGCTAATATCAACAGGACTTTCTCTTCCCAAGCAAATAGTGTGCATTACAGTACTTATATTTTTAAAAAGATTTTGATGTAAAGAAAGGGTGCATATTTCTCTCCCTTATTTTGAAAACTGTTTTGACTAACACTTAAGCCAAAGCAAGAATAAAGAGGAAAAAAGACAAAGAAAGTAGCAAGAAAGATGTTAGTTGAAGGGGTTTTTTGGTTGGTTTTAAAATAAAGGTATAGTAAAACTATTATCTTAATGAACAAGAGGTTGAAGGGAAAAAAAAACCCTTTGGAGGCACACCCCTGTATCTTTGTATGTATAAATAATTGTTGCCTTTAGCAGTGAGTGAGATAAACCGCTGGGACTCATTCTAAAGTGACCCATCACTGAATTCATTTCTGCTTGAACTTTCGGTGAACCTGAGATTAAACGGAGTGATCAGCAAAGCAGTTTGTTGTTTGCTGCTTTTTCAACAACCCTTTTCAGTAAATATTGATTGCTTTCAATCTGATTGCCTAGAGAAAAACATCTTTGTACAGCGTCTGAAACCAAATCTTAAGGACGACAATCAAAAATAAGCTTCAGGTTTTTATTTTAAGTATTCACCTTACCCAAAAGAAAACAAACCTAATTAATCCCAGTTGGATGAACAAAGACAATTTTTAAAGAATTACTGTTTTTTATTTATTTGTTGGCATGCCATGGAAAGGGCGAATCTACCCCAAATTTTATCACTAATGAAGAAAAGAAATGTTAATCAATTTTATTTATTTATTTATTTGATTTATATTACTGCCTCTTCTCCCATGGCAATTTATGAATATTGATCAATTAATAGTTGGGACTAGTCCATTAATTTACTATATTACATGAATTCAGTTATGTGGATTTGGGTAAGCAGCAATAGATACTGAAAGGACCATTGACATAAAATTACACAAGTTCTGTTTCAGGCAAAAACACTTCCTACTTTAGTCTAAAGGAAATTATTATCATTATTGTCCAGTGGATCAATTTTCTCCACAGTCATATTAATGATTAGTCAGTTAAATTCCTACACATTTCCTTGGGAATAATATCTACCTGGTGTGTGTGTATGTGTGGGCGGGGGAGAGAGGGAGGGAGAGAGGGAGGGGGAGAGAGACAGATATGTCAGATAGTCAATTTGATTGATGGACCTTTTGATCAATAATCTCTAGAACAAACTTTGAAGAAATCTGTGCCACCTCTTTGTGAAGGAAATTTCTTCTTCTTCTGCGGTTGGCTTTCAGTCAGCTACATTATAAGTTATTTGTTTCAGATTTATCACTTGTTTTCTAAAAAAATTATAGATCAGAGATTACTCAGAAATAAATGCCTTCAGGTATACCTAGGAATGAGTTATTTATTCTTTAAAGAAGGCTTCATATAAAGGTGGTGTTTTTTCCAATAAGTATTCTTGCTATTAACATCCTTCTATGAACCCCTCCTTCCCACCCTGGCACCTCTGGAACTGCTAAAAGGAGTTTTAAGTCAGATGATACCAACCCCTTGATCTTCTCTTCCTTTTCTCCAGGTACTTCAAGAAAGGACTGGAAAGAATCAGATGGTCCCTGAATTTTGCTAGCCCCAGCCTTGAAAGATCTAATTCACCCTCCCCATAGGCATGTAGATGCCACTTGAAAGCTTTTGGCAAATGCCATTTGTTTAGCTTTGAAGCCTTATCCTAATCAACAAAAGGAGAAAGTGGAAGGCAGGGCAAGGGGGCCGAGAGGAGCTGGGGGGGGCGGGGAAAGGGGAGAGAGAAGAGCCAAAGGTGAAAGGAACCTGGGTCTTTTGCCTGCTTTGAAGTTGCCCAAAGTGGTAGAAGGCCTGGAGAAAAGGGGTTCAGCAATCCAGGGTTTTCCCCTTGCCCTGGCAATAGGCCTCAAGTGGCTGCAGATCAAGGCTTATTGATGCTGATTTGTGGGAGAAAGGCAACCATTGGTGTTTGGGCCAGCCAAAATCTTTGGGATTCCAACCTCTCCTGCTTTATCTCTGGGGCAGGAGTCGTAAAAAAGCCTCTTGAAGAAGCTTTTACAATTAAGTTCTAGTGAACACAGCTTTTTCAAACTGAAACCGGCTGCTGTGAAATGAAAATGATGTTTTGCATTCCTTCCATTATGATCACCCCACACATTTATGCTACTGGTGATAGAAATCACAAAGAAAGGAAGGAAGTCCTTACAGTCAGCTCTACAGGTTTTTAATAAAAGGCCTGTGTTTTTTTTCCCCCAGCAAGTACTTGACATCTCCCCCAACCAGTTTTTCCAATCTCCGGTGGAGGAATTTAGTCGGGGGAGGGTGGGTTACAGGACCCCCTGACATGACACTCCAGGAAGAGTTGCTCTGGAAGAGGAGCAGGCTGTTTCTTGCCTGCTCTCAGCTTGCCTTCCAAAGTTTGTGCCTGGAAGATTGTTCTGGCAATTTAGAAGAAAGGAGGGGAAAAGCTAGCTTCTTGGGGTCCTCAGAGGAAATATAAGTCCCTTTGCTAGTGGCTTGGGATGCGAGGCAAGACCAACTGAAGACAGCTTCAGCTTTTGAAGAGGACTTAGTTTACACATAGGTCAATATGCAGTTTGGGGTGAAAAGGTTAGCACTTGACCCAGGAAGCTCCCACCACAGTGTTTCCAAAAGATCTGGGATTTGGTTCATTGCCCTTCTTTTCCCTAGTAAAAGATCAACAAGTTCTCTCTTAGGGTCTCCGCTGATCTTGCCGGATTCAATCTTGGGGGCCTGGAAGCCTAGGATGGCAAGAATTTGGCTTGCACCAAACTTGGGAGATTGGTTAGGCTTCTTCATAAGAAAGAACCAAAGCAAATAAGAGCCTACTATAGGAGTATATTTATTACAGAGATTTCTAGGACCCGTAAAATCCTGCTCTGGATTCCATTCTCTCTCCCCACAACACACACAAACAGAATCTCAGAACCTTGAATGATTGTACAGAAAATATCAGAAGTACTCAATCACAAAAGACAACTGATAAAACTCAGTGCTAACTTAGTACACCAAAACTTTGTGCCTTCATGCAAAGTTCTGTACACAAATCACATGAACTATACATTCAGTTTGGGCCAATTACCACATTCAGAAGTTCAGCTGAAAAATCTAAGGAAGGATAAATGGGAAATCGGGAGCAGGCCTGGTATCTCCATTTTCTGCATAAGTCTTGGGTCAAAATAATTCCATAGAGATTTTGGGAAACAAAATAGTGGGCAGACCTTAATAAGCAATGTTTCTTTTTTAAAAATCTAGTGCAATTTCAACATTCTTATCTAACTATTTTGAAGGAAGAATACTAGTTTCTGATATATTTTTTTTGAGGTATCTGATTGAGTTGAACACATCTTTGATCATGACAACTTCACTTTTTGCTATAAAATCGAATCAAGTTTTGAGAACGTAACCACCCTGTTTTGAATTTATAATCAATCTAAACATTTCTATAAAATCTGTAAAAAGATAAATCTCTTGAACAAAATATTTACAACGAACAACTCATACACACGAAAAAAAACAGGTACATTAAATTAAAGCATGAACATTTTAGAAGTCATGTAAACACTTTCAATAGTGCATCTCTTTTTGGAACTGCGAACCTCTTTGTCTCTGCCATGGAGGGAAGCCTACATAAATGTTCTTTGGCACCTTCATTCTGGTCTATCAATATTTATCATTGTGGTAACCACTTTTTTACTTTTCTCACAAATGGTCTAGAGATGGGAGACACCTAAATAAATTCTTGTACTTAGCACACTGAGGAGGAAAAAGCCTGATGCTGAATTAAAGACACTCTCAGTCTTGAAATAAGACTGTGATCCTGAATCTTTGGGGCCTATTCCAACCAAAATTATCTTTTTAGCTATATCTGAGTGATATTATGCTACAAAGTCGCTTTCTATTATTTCTCCACGCCCTAATTCAGTAGTCTTGGATTATACCCATCAATTTGGAAGAAGAAAACCCACTGAGATTTGCTTCCAACAAGTTTCAGTATGGGATGGCAGTTGTTTGAGGGATGGCAGTAAGAAAAGATTTGATCTGGAACCCAATATGGTAAGAGAAGGATGGGGTAGGGGGTCCCCTTCAGTCTTTACAAAAGTAGGGCTGGACACTATCAACTAACTACTCTAGGGCTGAATATAGGGGGCCAGGGAGTGTGGCAACTATGGAGCTCAATTTGAGGTAGTCAGAGTATCTGAGGTAGAAGAAGTAGGAGAAGGAGTACATGGGGATGAACTGGACTTTTCAGACGAGTCCTCTGCCTTCTCTTCACTTCCGGTTGGAGTGGCTGGAGAGATGGGCAGCAAGCCCTCTTTCTCCCTCTTCTTCTGCTTCATCCTGCGGTTCTGGAACCAGATCTTGACTTGGGTTTCATTGAGTTGCAAAGAGGCTGCTATCTCCACCCTACGTGCTCTGGTAAGATATTTATTGAAGTGGAATTCCTTCTCCAGTTCTGTCAACTGTTTGGTGGTGAAATTGGTGCGAACTGTGTTGGGTTGACCCACATAGCCATACTCTCCAGCTTTTCCTGAAGAAGAAGGAGAAGAAAAAAAGCAACAGCAGCCATAAATCACCCAATCATATCTTGCTGCATATAAGCATGGGGTTCAAGGCCTTAACTGATAGATAGCATTTATCAAGGCATGACTCCAGTAGTAGCTAGTGCTTTCTGAGCCACTTCTATGCATGGCTACTTCAAAGCATGGTTACTTCAAGTAGGAACTAACTTCATCAGGCTTGGCTTCTGCCAACTACCTTGCCCGATAAGAGCCATTTAGACAGGCCAGGCAAAACCAGGTTGATTCAAAACCAATGCCGGGCACATTCCTTTAGCAGAGATGCTCGCATTTAACCATTTAACTTGGTGTGGTGGCAGACTCTAATGTCCACTCTAACCTTATTCTAACCTGTTGCCTTTGGGACCCAAGTACTCCTTTTTCCTAGTGATACCCAGGAAAGCCAGGCCGTTCTGCAAAACAGCAGCTTTTCAAAGTCTAGAGTGCCTTAACCACCTAGCAAATGAAGACTAACCTGTTTTAGGAGGGTTTCTCTTCACTTTCATCCAGTCGAAAGTCTGGGCTGGTGGAGAAACTTCAGAAGAAGGAGAAGCGCAGCTTTCTGGGTGGACGGAGTGGAGAGGAGACAATGAGTGGGTGAAATTAGTGAGGGTTAAATTCTGCTGCTCCTCTCCAAAAGAGGGATGAATGTACTGAGTAGAACTGGTTGTGCCCCCACCATAACTCTGGGGATGCTGGACCATGGAGGAAGAGACATTTCCCGAGTAGAGAGTAGGAGCAGCGCACGGGGAGTAGCCCCCGCTGATTTCCGCCTCTTGACTGAGTGGATAATGGCCATAGCCTCCTGCAGTGAAGTTTTGCGTGCCGTAGCCGGACCCGCAGCTGGGGTGCGAGAATGACATCCCCAAATTGGGGTGGTGTTGGTAGGCGGTACCAGGCTGGTGGTGGGGATGGGGGCTTATCTGAACTCCCCTGCCAACCAGAAAGCGATCGTCCCCGTTGCAGCTGTTGGCGCTGACAGCACACGACTGAAAAGTGGTTGTAATCCCATGGTCTGGGTGGTGGTGGTGGTGGTGGCGGTGATAGGCACGGGAGGCGCAAGTGGTGGGCTCGCCGTTGAGGATGGGCGGATAATCGAGGAAGGAATTCATCCTTGCCGTGTCCATCTATCACCGATTGACCGGCTCTTCGAAGTACTGGGTGACCGTGCCAACTTTCTCACTTCCTCCATGGGGGCCAGAAGAAAAATGATATGAATGTACAGTGAGGCGTTGACCACGTGAGGGCGGCAGCCAATCATTGCTGCAGCTGCCAAAGTTGCCCTGTTCCTTCCTGGTGATGGATCACCCTGGCTATGGCATTTAAATTCTGAGCGCCCCTTCATCAAGGTGACGCGCAGACACCGCCGCCGCCGCCGCCGCTGCCTCCCTCCCTCCCACTCTCTTCTCAGCCAGCGTGTTGGGCTTGGAGAGCTGGGCCGGCGAGCCAGTGTGCGCCCAAGCGCTCAACCTGGAGCAGCCGTCGCGGGAACAACAGCAGTAAGAACAGAAAGCACTGAGCGGCCGCCGGAGGGGGCTGCCCCAGCGTGGATGGAAGGACACAGAGCCTGCAGGTAAGCAAAGGCGCTCGCCATCAAATCGGTTGCCGTTTCTTTGGCACCTTCTCCCAGGTGTAGAGCACCCGGGCTGGGGGAAGCCTAAAGGCCCGACTTTACAAGGATAAGGCGACCATCCGGGCAAGGGGGCAACCAGGATCCGTCCCTCTTTGCTCGGGACGGTCCGAACCTGGGCGAACCAGCAAGAGTTAATGGCGCTTAGTCCAACCTCCCTCGGCTATTTGCATGGAAATAAGGCGCAACGCCATTGTTGTTGCCGCGGACGCGGGCTCTGAATTCCCAAGAAGGGCGGTGACTGTGGGAAGGAGGTGGCTGAATTAAAATCAAGGCTCTGGGCTTAGGCTGCGGGCTTCTGCTGATGCTTGACGCCGTTTGGTGCGGAAAGGAAACGCTTACAAAGGCTGCCATTGGCAGCGGTCTTCGCTTCTGCCCAGCTCAGCAGCTGAAGAAGCAGAGCGCCTGTGCAAACACCCGGCCTCCTCCCCCCACCATCTCTTTCCCGGTTTTCGACCCTACCTCCTTCTGCCAATCACGCGCAGTCTCGCCTGCCTCTTCCTTTCCTTCTTTCCCCTCCCCATTGGCTGTACACCCGGTTTGAAAACACCAAACAGAGCAGGATGTTCTGTGAAATACCAGCGCTGAATGACCACGTCCCGTGATTAAAAGGAAAGGGACCGAGGAAAAGGGCTGAGAGGCGACAACGGTGGTCTGGGATTCATTTTCACCTAAGTTGATGTATATCTTTCGTTGTGGCAGAAGACGAGGGAAAGCAAAAAGTCCGCGCTCAAAATGATGGCCCCCTACTTCTGTTTTCCACCCAGCCGCACGTTTTTTCTTGGGAGAGTGCCATTAAAGTCACCCATTTTTTTTCCCCGAGTTTAGAACTGGGCCGAAGAGCTTAGCTATTTACTAAATGCTTTGATAATACTTTCTTCTTTTTCTATCTTCCTTTTTCCCACCACCCTTTTTTTCCTTTCTTTTTCTTTGTTTTTTTTTAAGAAGGAAGTCCTTTAAAAAACTTTATATTACACAAAAAGGTGATTTAGAAAAGAAAATTAAGTGATAAAACAAGCATGGAAAGGCCCTGGGAACGTTTGCTTCAAAGAGGCCTGCTGAAAGCATTAAGGTTTGTGCCAATTCTAAACAGTGGACTAGTTAGTTATTACTTCACTCACATACCAGATTTCGTTCTAGTCATTATCTAATTAGATTGCTATTTTCTTTCCTAAAAAACTACATCTCTAGGTTAGCTCTTCTGGTAACCTTAATGTTCTTATTTTGATAACTATGAAAGTTAGGACCTAGGAGAAGTTGATCAAAATGTGAAGCTTATTAGCTATGAAGACACACTTAAAATTTTTAGAAGGAGGTCTCTGGCATTTTTGTAAACAGCTAAATTCTACAGCCTATTTTTTTAAAAAACACCTCTTTGGTTGGAAGTTTATTGTCTACACTTAGTTCTGTTTCTTTTAGGAACAGAATAAAGAAAATATCACTTGCCACTTTAGAGTTTAGCAAACCATTTTCATAATTCACATTCACAGATCAATTATCAAAAAAAAAGGAAGCATATTCAGTGGATAATAATAGAGCTGTTAACCAGATCAGTGAAGTTAGCATACAATGTTGCTTACATTGTAGGGTAGCTGAGAGGAAAGGACATAGATAGAGATTTTATGTTTCTTGCTAGAAAAACAGAACCTTTTGTTTGTTGACTTTGAAAATAAAAATAATGTTTACTATTTTCTGTTAGACCAAATAACTATTGGAACAGTTTTATTCTTGGCCCGATTTCTATCTATCCATCTGTTCTCTTTAGACATCCTCTCTCTCCCTCCCTCTTCCCCCCACCACTCCCTCCCTCCCTCCTTTCCTTCTCTTACTGCTGCTTCCTTCAATCCTCCACCGTCTATTTCTCCTCCATTGTTCCAAAGAACTTCCCCCCTTTGTCAGGCCCCCTTCCCCCCCCCCTCCCCAAAGCTTTGCATTCTGTGGCCAACACAACTGCCCCCGCCCCCACCCCGCTTGCTTGCTTGCCAGAGTGCAGAAGGGGGAGAATTTATAGGGGGCGAGAAAGAGAAAGAGAAACGGCTTGTCCCTTGCAGCCATCAAGGTTTCTAACTTGACTCTCGAACGCGCGAGTTCCCTCAAAAACTTTCACCTCTCGGGACTTTTCCAAGACCCGATCCCTCGCTGCTTCGCCCCTACAGCCCCCTTTGTTGCGAGCCTGTCCTCGGTAATCTGAACCGAGCAACGCCGTTTGTTGCGTTTATCGGATAGTTTAAGGCGCTCAAGAATTTCCCCGAAAACCTTCACATTCCGGAATCATTGTTAGGATTTCTTTCCGCCCCCCTCGCCCCCCTTTTTGTGTGAGAACTATATGTCTCAGCATAGTTCTGGTCTCAAGGGAAAATCTGCTTAGGGTCTGGAGGCAACTGATTTGTGTCGAAAGCTTCTTTGTCAGTAGCATAGGAGGCTCCCCAAACTAACAGACCTGCTGGTTTGCCTATAAACTAAAACGTCTATAAACGAAAACGTGCTTCTTTAAAGAAAATGTTCTGCCCCGAAAGAGCGACCTTCGATCTTCGTGCTAGGCGAAGAAGGAAGGAGGGAATGGGAAAAGAAAGGGGATTCCCTGCCGCACCTGAAGCTTAGCCAAACAGTTGTTTTAACAGAGCAATAAAAAATGAATTATGACTAGCCTCTTCCAAGCTTAATGGTTTTAGACGGGGATCCCCTACTCCAGCAAATACGTAAGAGGATTTTTATTTGTGCATGTGTTCCTGCAATTGATCTCTTTGATGACATTCTCATTCACAAAAAGCGTTTGATTTATGAGTTTAGGAAGAATTACATCCAAGTCCTTCCAGCTATTACCCACGCGGTTTTGCGCCACCCCACATAGATGGGTTGCAAAGCAGAGAAGCAATCTGCCACCAAAATAAATGTAGCCTGAGCAGAAGTGCTAGCAAATGGAATCCTGAAAAGCCTGAATCATTTTCTCTCTCTCTCTCTCTCTCTCCATATACTAGTGTACCTACATAAACACACATACGCATTCTTACCAAGGGAAAGGGAGAAAAAAAAGGACAGTTTTTTACACACACACACACACACACACACACACACACCAAGAAAAACAAACCCCATCTGCTAACAAAGGCTGCTATCTTGTAGGACACAAAATAACGCATATCAACCTGTATGAATGAGTTAAATTAACCTGCAGTAGAGGATGGACACACACACACACACACACACACACACACACACACACACCCGCCACCACTTTCCATTAACAGCTCTTTTAGATCGGCCTCTTCAATTTTTATGTGCTTTTGGCAGGATAGGATAGCTAAAAGATCTTCTGAAATGTACACTTGTTAACCTAGTTCAAACTGAGCTGGGCTGAGAATGCCGTTTCTCCAACTTCAGCGTGAGCTTTTGTCCTTTGAACCCAATTTTGAACCCATAGTTTATATGCCTTGAACAGTTAATAACTAGATTTTACCAAATGGCTTTTCTGATTTCCTCTCTCTTTTAGATTTCTTTTCTTGGGACCTTTGGAACACTGGGACGGAAATCCATCAGAAGCCTACCTTTCTTGGTTCTCCACACCAACATTTCTTTCCAAGACATGATTCGCAAAAAGAATAAACACAGTGACTAATATAAATATATACATTTTATCTGTCTGCATAACTAATCCTCCTAAGGAGCCTCTGCTTTTTTCTTTTGCAGAATATTTTTCTTTCATATATATGCGTGCAAGAAACAAACTCAGTGTTTTTAATAGCTTTTAATAGCACTAAAGCAGTATTTTCGTGTATTTTAATTCTAATATATGGTATGTATTAAACGGAGGAAATGCTTATTTTTAATAAGGATCAAAGAGCTTCTCTAAGTTATGGGAAGAATTGTAACAATGCCATTTTGGGAGATGGGGGGAGAAAGGGAGGGAAAAGATTTCAGTAGCTTTCTTCCAATAAATGTTTTTCTCAAGGAAAAAAAAAAAGAACAGAGGTCTGTAACCAAATTTCTTGGCTTTATTTCAGACCAAAGGAGGAAGGTGGGGGGGGGGCAACTCCTTGTGCTATACATGAAGATAGAGAAAGAGATAAAAAGGTGCTTGTAGTAAACAAGAATTTATTCTACCAAAAATACTTATGACAACGCACCCTAATGTAATACAAAAATAAAAAGAAAGTGAAGATACAAACTTGATATGATCACTTTCTTACAGGCCATATATATTGCTTTTATAGAAGGACCTAGATTGTGACTAGGTTGAACTAAAATGCCATTGGGAAATGGCAAAGTAGTTCTCCAACATCACAGACAAAGAAAAAGAAATCAGATCAAAGGGGGAAGGGGAAATAAAAATTAAGGAGAGGAGGGAGAAAAAAAAGAAGAAGGTATAACCCTTGGTGCATGAAGGTCTGTGCTTTCTCAGTAATTCAGGTGCTGCAAGTCAATTGTGGTGAGCGTATCTGAGAAAAAGTCAAAGCTGTCGGCTGAAATATCTACAGGGCTGTCGAGGGATCCTGGCAA